TACGTAAATGGCTGCCTGGAGCCCTGCTTGATGGAGGTTGGGGTCTGAACCTCTGGGATTAAAAGATGTTTGTAGCTTCTACCTCCAAGTAATTATCTACAAAAGGGGACAGGTAATGCCATGATGCCAGTTAAAAAAAAAAAGCTCATTAAAGTTCCCTCATGTGTCTTCAGAGAGAGCCCAAAGGGGCCCAGGAGACCAGCATTCTGGTCCTATCTGCCAAAGAATCGGCACACACGAGGCTTGTTTCATGGGCGTGTGACTTGTGCACAGGGGCCTGCGTTCTGAAGGGCTTGGTTTACTGCAGCCAGCCCTGAGTGTATGACGTTGGACGGGTGCTTCCCCTTCTCAGGACCTCATGACATAATCTGTGAAATGGGCAGGTGGGGACCTTTCATTCATTTTTTTTTTTCAGCCCGTGGTGAGCACTATAGACTCGTGGGACACAGGGGAAGAGCCCCCACGGGGCCCAGCTTTGCTTGGCTTTGATCTTCCGTCCTCTGCCCGTACCGCCTGCCCTACACACTCACCTCTCACCTGTCTCCCTGCAGGCAAGCGCTTCCAGGAGTGGTGCTGTGTGGTCCTGTGCTTCAGCCTCATTGCCCACAACGTGATCCACCTCCTGCTGCTGGCCCGCTGGGAGCATACGCCCCTCGTAATGCTGGGTGTTGGTGAGTGCCCACAGCTCTGCTGCTTGCCTCGGCTTCCATGGGGGCCAGGGAGCTACCCAGTGTGGCAGCTTGCACACAATGTATGTGCGTGTGGATGTGTATGCACGCCAGTGCGGTACGTGCTGAGGACCGCGCCTCCCATCTCAGTCAGTGGCACCTGTGTCTTTTCCGCCACTTGGGCCAGAAATCTGGGCATCATCCTCAGCTCTCTTCTTTCTCTCTCATTCCACACCCAAACTATCAGCAAATGCTCTTGGCTCCACTTTCAAAATGCATCCAGAATCCAACCATTACTCTCCACCTGCACTATCCCCACCCTGGTCCAGCCACCATATCTTCTGCCTGGACTATCATGGTAGCCTCCTTCCTGGTCTCCCCACCTCCAGCTTTGCCCCTACACTGTCTGTTATCCATACACAGCCAGGGGGACCCCATAATAACCGCGGTCAGGTCATGCCATTCCCCTGTCCTCCCTTGTATACTTGGAATAAAACACCAACTCCTCAGCGCAGCCTGGCCCGAGCTCCTCCTCAGATCTCATCTCCCTCCGCTGTCCTCTGGCTCACCCTGCTTCCACCACACTGGCCTCCTCACTGTGCCTCCGCCATGCTCTGGACACACTTCTACCTCGGGGCCTTTGCAAATACTGTTCCCTGTGCCTGGAACTCTTCCTGCAGACACCTACATGGTTCACTCCCTCATCCAGAGTCCTGCTCAGAGGTCACCTCCTCAGGGAGACCGCCCTGATTACCCCTCTAAAACTACAGCCCTGTTACATATTTCTTATCTATCTTTCCCCCACTCAAATGTCAGCTCCATGAGTAGAGACTTTTGTCTGTTTACTGCTGTGTCCCCAGCCCCAAGCACAAAGCCTGGCACACAGCTAAGTGCTCGATAAATATTTATTGAATCAGTGAATGAATGAGCAAGCCGCAACTTATTAGTACCTGCCAAATGTTATCCTTTGATTAGTCCTCATCTGTCCACAACCTGGGATGGATGCTCTGGTTGTCATCATCTTTCAGATAAGGAAACGGAGGCTCAGAGAAGGGACCGGCCCAGAGTCACAACTCAAGCCAGAAGCACAACATAGTTCTTAATACACTCTCTCCACAACTAGACCCTGGGTGACTCCGCCTCCTTCCTCTCCAGATACCACCCCTCCCCTTTTCCCTCTAACTTAGGGCTTATCCCCTCCCCTGTCCTGGGCTCTCCTGACCCACCCTAAGTATTCAGTTCCCACAAACTCATTAAAAGCATTTGGCTGCCTAAGCCAGTAATGCTCAGGCCATCTGGGTCTGGGACGGGGACAGGCATGTGCTAGGGGCCAGGCCAACTGGAGGAAGGGGGCATTTATCCATCCAGTGCTGAGGAGCCTGGGCCCAGCCCACAGGAGCCAGATGTGCCTCCTCTGCTCAGGGATAACAGGGCCCTGAAGTCCCATCTAGGGTGTTTAGGAGTTGGCCCCTGCAGACCTGAGTTCAAGTCCCAGCTCCACCACTTCCTGGTTTTGTAGCCTTGGGCAAGTGTCTTTGTGTCTCTGAGCCTTGCTTTCCACATCTTTTAAGTGAAGCTGCTCATAGTACCTGCCTCCCAGGGCTATTGTGAGGGCAAAATGCAGGTATGTGTAACTGCAGAGAAGACCAGTAACTGAATAGAAGTGAGAGGGGATACTGCCCAACATACCACTCACCAGGGCTTGGGCCTTCTGCCTCTCTAGTCAGTTTATCAATGGATATTTCCCAAAAGTCTACAATGAGCCAGGCCCTAGGCTGGGCACTTCTAACCTTTGGTGGCAAGCTAGTAAGGAGGTTCTGATCGCTACCCCGAGAGTCCAGGTGACTTGCAGCATCAGAGCCTGGGATCGCATATCCATTCCTGCCTGGCTCCTGAACCGTGGACTCCACAGCCTTTAGTTAGTATTGGGAGGAGAGGGTGTTCTAGGCAGTGGCCCCAGCTTGGGCAAAGGATCAGCCACATCAGAGCCCAGGTGTGTGTTGTGTGACATTTGTGTGAGCCGGGACAGTAGGTGTCCCAGGCAGGTCACCACCTCCCTTCCCTGGCTGGGACCAGAGCTTCCAGCCCTGGGCCCAGGAGATCTCGACTATCCAGCCGGAGCATCTGACTCCAGCTTCCTAATCTTCTACCTTTGCCTCTGAGCTGATAAGAACGGACAATCCGGATAGTGATGTTTGCGCAGTCCCTAAATCAATTTAAGTAGCTGCTCTGATTTGTGTGTTAACGCGCAGGAGGTGAGGGCACTGTGCCAGCCTATAGAGCCCGCTCCCCACCCAACATTATCTCCCCAGAGGTTCTGGTGTCTCTGAAACCAGGGGAGGCAGAGCCTAATTAATAAACTCGAACAGATGGCACAATGCTGGCAACAAAATCAAGATAAGGGAAGAAGTGCAAAGTCAGGGACTCTGTAAAAGTGACATTTGTGTAGTTGAAGGAGGTGAGAGAGGGAGCAGGCAGATACTTCTGGGAGTGGCATTCCATGCAGTGGGAAGAGCTAGTGCAAAGGCCCTGAGGCCGGTGTGTGCCCAGTGCCTTGGGAATAGAAAGGAGGCCAAGGGTTTTATTCCACAGTCCGTGAACAGCCAGTGGTGAGTTTCCCCACCCCCCGGAAGGTAGCTGACATCAGCTGATGCTGCAGGGAGGACAAAGTTGGGGGGTGGGGCAGGGAGGGCCAGAGAGGAGGCAAAGATGGTGGCTGAGACCAGTATGGCAGTGGAGGTGGTGAGAAGCTGTGACAGGTGAGCTGCTAGAATGCTTCCAGGTTGGTTGTGGAGGTGAGAAGGAGGGGTTAGTGACTCCAGGTTCTTTGACTTGATGGATGGAAGGAATGAGGAAGGAGCTGGCTTGAGGGGAGATGCCCGAGATGCCTGCCTGAGGGCCAAGGGGAGGTGTCGAGTAGGAAATCGGAAATCCCAGTCTGGAGTCAGGGAAGGCAGCTGGAGATGGAAACCTGGGAGGCCTTGGGGTCGAGATGGTGTCTGAGGTTCAGGCGCTGGTGGAGTGCCCCCAGGGGCTGAGTGGGAGCTGAGCCCCAAGGCTGCTGGTGCTTTCAGTCTGGGGAGAGGAGGAAGTCGGGGGCGGGCGGCAAGAGGAAAATGTGTTTCTAGAAGACTTGGGGTATAGCAAGGGACCATTGGATCTGGCCACGTCCGGGTCATCAGCAACCTTGACCAGGACTGTTATCATGAGTGGAGGGGTGAACGAATGAACAGCTCCAGGAGCCCTGAGCTGTTGGCTGCAGCTGGGGAAAGTGGAGAGTGTGGGTGCTCGTGAGTTGGTCTTTGAAAGAGAGAGTAGGAGTTTCTGGCAAAGTTTTCTGGAGGAAAGGGGGTTCCAGATAGGGGGCACAGCAAGTGCAAGATGGACAGTGAGGTCAGAGGTCACACAGCCTCAGGTCATGGTCAGCCTGGTAGGTCAGATGGGGCATCTTTGTGTGATTCTGAGATGAAAGACAGGATTTGGCCCCAGGATTCTACGGACCAGCCCTCAGCAGTGTCCACTCTGTCTCAGCCACTCTCCGTGTCTCTACACCAGGTCTTGAGTCAGGCAGGGGTGAAGAAGTATCAGCTAGGTGACCTGTGGGGAAATGGGCTCCTAACAAGGGGCCCAGTGACTGTTTCAAGGTCACCCAGTGAGTCATGGTAGCCTTAAGTGAGTCATCCCCCATCCCAATGTCCTGCAGACTGGGAGGCAACCAAGCCAAAGCCATCCCCAGGGTGAGCCAGCCGCCCGCCACTGCCCCTGGCTGGGACAATGAAGCGTCTGTGTGCCTGCCTCTGCCACCCCTGCCCCCATTAAAGCAGCCTCAGGCTGCAGTCTTGTAGTCTAGAAACAGCCACCCGCAGAGGCTGGGAGGACACAGAGCCATTTCCTCTCAGAAAAAGGGGAGAGCTCCTTCTCTCCCATGTAATTCCTGACCTCTGTCCAAAGCACACATCCTTCCCTGCTTGGCAGCCTGAAAAGGCCGGGTGCTGTCATTTACCAGATGCCAAGACTGAGGCTCGGAGAGGGGAGTACTGTTTAAGCTAACTCTAGCTACATTTGGGGACTTCGTACTGTCCCAAGGACCGTGCTAAGCACTCTATCCGCATTAGCCCATCTTATTAACTGATCGTAGTTAGGTGAACTGATTACTTATTAATATCTCCATTTCCCAGACTTGGACATGAAGGCACAGTGTCATCGCAAACACCCCTTGCGATGGTCTCTGGCCACTCACCAGCAGCCCTGACTCCTAGCTGCTGTGTGACCCTGAGTGGGCCTCCCCTCTGACTCATTTCCCCCTCTGGAAGTCAGGATGTGGTGGGGCCCATCACACTAGACGTGAAGTGACATAATACACTTTATTTTTGGAACAGTTTTAGATTTACAGAAAATGGGCAGATGGTACAGTCCCCATATACCCTTGCCCCCAGAGTCCCCTATTACTAACATCTTATAGTTTATATTAGTATCACATGCTTGTTACAATTACTGCTCCAGTGTGGATACAGTATTATGAACTAAAGTCCACAATTTATTCAGATCACCTTGGTTTTTACTTACTGTCCTCTTTCTGTTCCAGGATCCCGTTCAGGATTCCACATCACATGTAGTTGTCATGTCCTTTTAGGCTCCTCTTGGCTGTGACAGTTTCTCAGATTTTCCTTGTTTTCCATGATCTTGACAGTTTTGAGGACTGGTAGTATTTCGTAGGATGTCCCTCTACTGTTATTTGTCTGGTGTTTTTCTTGGACTGGGTTATGTTTTTCAGAGAGGAAGAGCTCAGAGGTAAAGAGTCATTTTCATCACATCGTAGCAAAGCTATGTACTGTCAACATGACTTGGCATTGTGGTGTTGACCTTGACTACCTGGCCCAGGTAGTGCTGGTCAGGTTTCCCCACTATAAAGTTACTCTCCTCCCCATGTCCGTACTACTGTCCTCTCTGAACAGAAGTCACTGTGTGCAGCTCATATTTAAGGCGTAGGGAGCTATGCCTCCGATAATGCACTTTCTAACACCTTTGACATAGCACTGGGCACAGGGGAAGTGCTTCAGTGTTAACCGTTACCACAGACATTGTTTTTTCTAATGCAGATGCTCCTCAACGTACTGTGGGGTTACATCCTAATAAAATGTCATTAAGTCAGAAATGCTTTTAATACACCTAGCCTACCAAACATCATAGCTTAGCATAGCCTTAAACGTGGTCGGAACACATTAGCCTACAGTTGGGCAAAATCATCTAACACAAAGCCTATTTTATAATAAAGTATTCAATATCATATGTAATTTATTATGCATATCACTTTCACACCATCATAAAGTCAAAAAACGATAAGTTGAACCATCTTAAGTCAGGACCATCTGTATTGCTTTTATTATTATACCTGAAATCTGTAAGGATTAAATGCTTAGGACGATTAAGGAGATAAGATGTGTAACTGGTTTAGGACTGACCTTGGTACGGTTTATGGATTAAAAGAGAAAAACATTTAAGGTGCTGACACGGCCTGGTATCTAAATTGCCCCGTAAATGTTAAGAAAGAAAGGGAGAGAAGGGGAGAGAAAGAAAGGGAGGCAGAGAGGGAGGGAGGGAGGGAAGGAGGAAGGGAGGGAGGGAGGAACGAACGAACGAACGAACGAACGAACGAACGAACGGACACCTGTACCCAAAGGAAACGGGGGTACGTGTCTACACACAGGCTTGTATATAAACGTTTTCACAAAACCTGAAAACAACCCAGATGTCCAACAGTGAAAGGGATGAACACATTGTGGGACATCCAGAATACGATTCAGCAATAAAAAGGGTGAACTACTGATACATCAATTACATGGATGACTCTAGAAGTACTGTGCTAGTGAAAGATGCTAGATCCAAAAGAGCACATACTATGTGAATCCATTTATATGAAGTTCTAGAACAGACAAAACCAATCTATAATGATGGGAAGCAGATCACCGGTTGCATGGAATAAGAATGGAGAGGAAATTAAGGGGCACGAGGTTACCTGCTTCTCGTGAAGGCAGCATTCAGAGGCAGCGTTAGTCAGACCTGTCAGTGTAGGGCATCACAAGGTGCCACTCACTGTGCAAGTGAAGATGCTGAGTCTAGAGGGGGCAAGGGGCTTGCCCAGGGTCACACAGCAATATGGTAGCAAGAGATGAGGCCTCCAGTTCTTGATCTAGGTCTACTTAGCTCTTGGCCACATGGTCTCTTGTCCCTCTTGGTAGATACAAGGCAGCATGTGTACAGCATCCTATAGTATGCAGTAAGAGCCCTATTAATGCCCTTGGACCTACTGAGGTACAGTTGAAGGACATGAAAGGGTGCTGGTTTTGGAGACAGGTAAACAAACCTGCCTTTTTTCCATCTCACGGCTGCCGCTTCCACGCCACGGGACTTGGCAGGGAAGGTTGTTCAACTTCTGAGAGGGTGGTAATAAATAAAGCCATCTCAGGTGGTGACAAGTGCCGTGTTAGAAATAAAGCAGGGAGACGTGACCAAGAGCACCTACCCTAGAGGTAGGCTTTAGCCAGGGGGGTTGGGTGATGACTGCCCTGAGCTAGAAGGCTGAGGAAGAGCCAGGTAGAGGAACAGCAAGTGTAGAAGCCCTTGGCTTTCACCTCCCTGGCTTCCCTGACCCCCTTCCCCAGGTCCCTCCTCCCAGCATTATCACTGAGGAGCAGGACTGCTCAGCCCTGAGTGGAGCCCTGAGTGGGGCCCTGAGTCCACAGACCCAGTGGGCCCTGCTGAGCCCTGACCTCTCCCCAACCCAGCCTCCTGGGCAGCGTCACCTTATGGCCTCTCCTTTGGCTTCCGCATACCAGGAGGTAGTACCTATCCCCACCTGCCCACCTGTCTTTGTCACCAAGAACTTGCAGGTGCCTTTATATAGCTGTGTCTCCCCTGCCACCACCATCCCTCCCACATTTGGCATCTGTGGGGCAAAGGCTCCAGGGCCTCTGGAAAGTCTTTGTTCGCAGCTACTCCTTAACCTGGGCCCAGGCATCAGAACTGCATGTCCACAGTGAGCCCCACGCCCACTCTTACTCCCTCGCTCATGACCCCTCTTCACCAGGGAGGCCTCCAGGGTACCCCAAGGCCCTGGTCTCCTGTCACCTAGGAACTGAGAGCCCTAGCAGAACCCCAAGAACCCTTAAGTGGTGTAGCTGGGCCTTGGACGAGTTCACACAAAGAAACTGAGTCTAGGGCGGGGGAGAGAAAGGGTTTGCCTGAAGTCACATGACCCAGTGGACTGCACTTATCATCACTGAAAACTGCATTCGTTCCCTGCCATGTTTTACAGCTTTCCCCGCCTCGTGTCTCTTTGCCCCGGAGACGGTGAGCTCAGTGTCCAATGTATCTCTGGCTCTAGAGCTCGGTCCACAGCGCAGAGCCTCACAGAACAACAGCAACAGTAATAATAGGTTTGAGGGCTTACTGTGTGCCAAGTACTATACTTCGTGTTTACATTGATTAATTCAACAAATATTTACTGAACCCCTGGTAAGTGCCAGGAACCAGGAAACAGCCATACACAAAAGACTAGATAAAATCCCTGCCTTTGTGGGGCTGACATTCATAGGTGATGGGGGGGGGCAATAAACAAAAATGAAGTCCAAGGTGACAAGTGCTTGGAGAAAAGGAACAATAGAAGACAGGAAATGCTGGGAGGTAAGAGGGGGTACAATTTTAGATCAGGTGTTCCTAGAGGATTTTTGAGTAAAGGCCTAAAGGAAGTGGAGGAGTTGAGCTGTGTTACATCTTGGGAAAGAATGTTCCAGGCAGAGGGAACAGCAAATGCAAAGACCCAGAGGCATGTAAGTGTGTGCGAGGGAAAGATAACACGCTAAGAGCGCCGAGACACGGTGAGAGGGGAGCGTGGTGTGGGGTGGCACTGGCGTGTTACCTTGGGCGGGTGATGGCCACTCCACCTCAGTATTCCCATGTGCACAATGGTGGCAGTGCATCCTGCTATGTTAGATTTGGACCTCAGGGCAGGTTAAGAGCCCAGCCACTTGCCATTTATGCCACCTCGGTCTAGTTACTTCATTTCTCCAAGCCTCAGTTTCTACCTCTATAAAGTGAGAATAAAAATGGTCCCAACTTCTAACAGATGATGAGAATTCACTGAAATCTAACACATAAACCACTTGCGTGACACTAAAAATGTACTCAATAAATAGTAGCTGCTATGTTTTTTTAATCGTCGTTCCCATCTAGCTAGAGGAAATGGGCAGAGAGGTTAAGTAGCTTGCCCAGTGTCTCACGGCTAGTGAGAGACAGCTGGAATTTGAGTCCAGATCTAACAGCTCTTAACCTCTGAATCCTCAAGTGAATGAATGGTGTTGGGGTCTCTGAGGGGACCCCACTCCAAGTCTGAACCAGCTGAGCTCCAAGATAAGGAAAAGGCTGCTGGAGGTCAAATTATGTTTATTGTTGATAAAAGCTAGAAGGGGAGGGGGAGTGTGGTGTCTGTCTCCACCTGAGGTACTTGCTGACACCAAACCCCAGAAGGACGTTTTCATCTAGTCACTGGCAACACTGGAGCAGAGTGAGCTTCCCTATGGGGACCGATTGGGGGTCAGACACAAGGGGTCAGTCAGCTCCTAATAGGGAAAGGTTGGGCTGATCTGAGCATGCCCAGTTTATTCTCTCCAGACTCACCAAGCAGATGAGTTCCCACATCTCCCCTGAGACAGAGCAAGTGAAGGGACAGATCCAGATCAAGGCCAGGAGTGTTATTCCTGAGGCTCCATTTACAGGGAATAAAGCGTTCCAAGTAGAAAAGGGACAGCCTCTCCCCTAACAAATGAGTGAATGACCAAGTGAATGCGTGAATTCCTGATTTGGGGTGGGCAGGAGGGGAGATGTCCCTCTGTATGTCCCCTGCCCAGGCTCACCCTGTTCTTGTCCACAGTTGCAGGGGCTCTCATTGCTGACTTCTTGTCTGGCCTGGTGCACTGGGGAGCTGACACTTGGGGTTCCGTGGAGCTGCCCATCGTAGGGAAGGTGCGTATATTGACCCAGCCCAGCCTGTCTCCTCCAGAAGGAGGTTGGGCTCTCTGACCTTGGGTGAGTCCCCTTTCCTGTCAGAGCCCCTCTCTCTATCTGAAAGATGGGAACTATCCTTCCAGCCTGACCTGCATGCCCTCCTCCAGGACTAGACCAGGAATATCCTGGGATTTTCTGGAAGCAAAAGCATCAGGCATGGAACAGTCAGAGAGCTTTGATATGTGTCCACCTCACCAGAACCCCTTGCCTTCGGGGGCCACGCCTTGTTCTCCTTTGTCTGTCCTGCTATGCCTCACTGTTTGTTTGTTTTAATTGAACTTATATCAGTCAGACTATTTTGGTTGTAAGTTATAGAAAATCCAATACAAACTGGCTTTACCAAGCAAAGGTAGAGCCAAATTAAGGTGTGGCTGGGTTCGGTGGGACAGACAGACCATGTTCTTCAGATTCAGTCTCTCTCCATGTCTGTCTCTGCTTTCCTCTCCCTTGGCTTCACTCTCATGTAGGCTTTCCTCTTTATGGTAAGGTGGCCAAGATGGCTTCCTAGACTTCCATCCTCTCCGCTCAGTGCCCACCTCCAGTGGAAAGAGAACTCTCCTTTCCCATACTTAAAGCCTAAGTCCCATGGCTCACTCCTGTTGGCCCAGCTTGGGTCACATGCCCATCCCTCCGCCAGTTGTTGTGGTGGGAGGGATGGAATGCTCTGACTGGCCAGGCCAGGGTCGCATGCTCACTCTTAACTAGGCAGTGGTGAGCCCAGCCCCATCAGAACAGCTGTAATAAGAGAAAAGGGGGATGCTGTTACCACAAAGAAGCACTTAGATGCTGGGAAGAAATAGAGGGACCTGTTACTGCCTTACGGTGGGAAAGAAGGGTGGAGATCGTCTGCAAGCTCCCTCGCAGCCCAAGCAGGGAGACTGAGGCCCAGACGGGGGCAGTAGCAGCCTAAGGTCCCCGCCAGATCATTTCAACCTGACTTCTGCTAGAGCTGCTAGATCTAGACCCTGAAGGCTGGGTGGAATCTGTATCAGTGGCATGGTGGGATGTTCTGGCATCCCAAAGGCAAGGAGGTGAGCTCGAATCGAGTGTGTGCAGGAGATTGTGGGGAGTAGCTGAGCACCAAAGGCTGATGAGTCAGGTGTATCCCCACTCCTGCCTCCCTACCCCACCCCAGGCTTTCATCCGACCATTCCGGGAGCATCACATTGACCCGACAGCCATTACACGTCATGACTTCATTGAGACAAATGGTGACAACTGCCTGGTGACACTGCTGCCGCTGCTGAACATGGCCTACAAGTTCCGCACCCAGAGCCCCGGTGAGCGAGCCAGCTGGTGGTGGCCCTCCAGGGGGCCATCGGGGACAGACACTTGCCTCAATCCCCAGGAGCCTCCTGTGGCTTGTGGGGATTGGCCCCTCACAGTGTTATAAAAAAGAGTTCTTTTTTGTTTGTTTGTTTTTTCATGCCTACAACACCTGGTAGTCCTAGGTGGTCTCATCCAACCCTACTTAGCTTCCGAGATCAGACGAGATCAAAAAATGTTTTCTTATATTGGAATATATGACATAAAGCTCTGCATTTCCAGAATCTCTGGAACAACCCAATCTGGCCACCCTGGGTCCTTGTTCCCTCTTGGTTTCACTGGGCCAGAACTGAGCTGTGACTGCCTTCTTTAGACAGGACGCACACTCTACAATGTGCCACAGTCCTCACTACTCCCTGTTGTCCTATACCTGGCCCCCTTGCTCATTTGCATTACCTGCCTCGCCCTGAGAGCTTCTGGTTTTGCTGCCCTGGCTTAGTGGAAAGAGCATCAGCTGTGAACTCAGACAGTCCTGCGTTCAGATCTCTGCCCTGCCTGTTCTAGGGGGAGAACTTGACACAAATCAAGTCACTTCACCTCCCTGAGCCTCAGTTACTTTATCTGTCAGGTGGAGAAAGAGTCCGTCCTTCCTCTGCCAGGTCTTGTTCTAACAACCTGACACCTCGTTGATCCTTAGAGCGCCTCCCCATGGGCAGATGTAATGCCTATCTGTGGTGTAGTGGACATCCTTCTCCCGAGGGATGAAAGCATCCCCTGGCTACAGCCAGAGGTGGCTGCTCACAGCTGCCAGCTGCCTCTTCTGAGAACTGCCTCTCTCCTAGGGATAAGCCTGAAGCCAGTGACAGGAAAAGCCTACAAAAGGCAAGCCCCCTCATTTCTGAGTGGGACCAACTCTGTAGAGCCATTAATGCTTGAGATCTCCCCCCAAGATCAGGCTAAGGGGAGACTCCCCCACCCCATCTTTGATTAGCTCTCCCCCTGTCCTACGTCCCTCACTCCGTCAGATGTTTTTCCAGAAGCGAGGCTTCCCTGCACTCCCCTCCCCCAGATGAATCATGCACACCGGGATCTCTGTCTCAGGCTGTGCTTCTAGGGAACCTTGACAAAGACTTGTACCCATTTTATTGATGAGGAAATTAAGACTCGAAGAGGCAAAGTCGCTGCCCCAGGCTCATACAGCCAAGAAACGTCACAGCAAGGATCTGAACCCAGCACTGCCTAACTCCAGAGCGCATGTTCTTAACTATTACTTCTGCTTACTAATTAGCTGCCCACTGAGCAGAAGGGGAGTCTGAGCTTGTCTGAGGCCATGTGGGAGGCTGGAAGGAGGCCTGGGTGCTGCCCTGGAATGGGAGTTACCCAGGGTGAGTGGTGAGGGCCAGGCTGGTGATGGGTCCCTGTCCCATGTGACAGCTGTGTGGGCACTGTGGGCATCTACCCTCTCCCCACCCTGCAGAAGCCCTGGAGCAGCTGTTCCCCTGGGAGTGCTTCATCTTCTGCCTGATCATCTTTGGCACCTTCACCAACCAGATCCATAAGTGGTCACACACGTACTTTGGGCTGCCTCGCTGGGTCACCCTCCTGCAGGACTGGCACATCATCCTGCCGCGTAAACACCATCGCATTCATCACGTCTCACCCCATGAGACCTACTTCTGCATCACGACAGGTGCGGCTGTAGGGTGGTGTGGAGTGGGCTGCCCCTGCTCCGCTGCAGCTCCATCCTCAGGGTCGGGAGGACAGATCACAGTGGGAGGTCTTACAGTCCTTGCCCTGTGGGAATGTTGTCTCGGAACACATTTACTGAGTACCTGCTATGTGCCAGGTGCTAAGGGCAGCAGTAAATGAGAAAGACACCCCACACACACACCTCATGGAGTTGTGGTTCCAACCACCCATCCAGCCGGCAGATATTTATTGAGCACCTACTAGGTGCCAAGCACTGCTCTGGGCTCAGGACACAGCACTAAACAAAACAGGCAATCTAATAGGGGACATTCCAGACAATACATAAATACATCTGACGGTGCTAACTGCTATGAAGGAAAGTAAAGGAGAGGATAGGAAAGGAAATAGGGTGATCGGGGAGGGCCTCACTGAGAAGCGACATCTGAATTGCGGGAGAAAGTCACGCAGATCTGGAGAAGGGACTGCAGGCAGCAGGAACAGTAGGTGCAGAGGCCGTGAGGCAGGGACGAACATGTCTGAGGAGCAGCAAGGAGGCTAGTGTGGCAGGAGTGGAGAGCATGAGGGGCGGAGTGGCAGGAGAGATGACAAAGTCCAGGTGTGAGGAATGCTGTGGGGAAGAACAGAGTGAAGGGCAGAGTCATGCTGGGAGGGGGTGTTGGTGAGGGGCGAGTGTCTGCTCATATAAGGAGGTCAGAGCGCTGAAAACAGTGTGGGAGGGACCCCGCAGATAAACAGGGACACATCAGTCCAAGCAAAGGGAACAGCAGATAGAAATGCCCTGAGGCAGGAGCATGCCACGGGTGACTGAGGAACAGTCAAGGAGGACCACATCGTCATTGGCAGTCAATGGGCCAGGGCCAGAGAGATGAGGTGAGGTGAGGTGAGGTGAGGTGAGGTGAGGTGAGGTGAGCGGGTTTCTGGAGCCAGCGGGGTGTCTTTCAAGGTGAAGTATATTAGAGGTGCTGTTGAGTCAGGCCAGCTTAGGTTCGACATCAGCTCTTCTTTGTGTGCCTTTATAAGACTCGAGCCTCCCTTTGTCATCCACAAAATGGGGCTGCAGCCACCTCCTTCACATACCACCTTCACAGGGCTGGGTGTGAATGGCAGAATGGCAGATAACAACGGCCTTGGCCTATAGGTCGGTACTTGATAAGCTACAGATACTGTTTTTTAGGGCTTTGTTTTGTTTTGTTTCTTTCTGGAGCCAGAACTGAGGACCACAAAAATATGGTCCTAAAGTCATGCTCTTTGAGAGTAGGTGGAGGAGTTAGACTTTGGGCCATTTTGGAGATCGGTTAGCTGCTTAGCTAGACCTGGCAGCAGCCTTGGTTTGGCCACCTACTAATTGGGAAACTCCTCTCCAAGTCTCAGTCTTCTCATGTGGAAAATGGGACTAATAATAGTGCGTCCCTCGTGGTTTGGGTGGGAGACTAATACAGACTAAATAAGATTGTGAGCAATATTTATTGAGCACCTACTATGTGCTAGGCGCCATTCTAGGCACTGGATCAATAGTGAAAAAATATGGGGTTCTGTTTTTATACCTGATACAAAAACCACAAACCTGGGACGTAGTGAATTAATGAGAATGGTTACATTATCATAAAGGCTATAAAATAGAAGAGGGTGATGTGACAGGCCTGGAGTGCTATGTAACTGGTAGTCAGGGAAGGTTTCTGGGAAGAGGTACCATTTGAGCCAAGTGATAGGAACCACCACCATGCATAGCATATAGTAAGCACTCAGTAAAAAAGTGAATGAGTGAGGCGACAAAGGCATGTCTGAGCAGCCCCAAAGCCCATTGGTGGGAGGCCCCCATCCCCAGAGTTCTCAGTCAGTCCTCGTTCCCTCCCCTCTCACTCCCAGTCACTCTTACTCCAGGCGAGACCAGCTCTCTCTTTACACCCCCTCTCCCACTCAACATCCCGGTGCTGTTTCTACTGCAGGCTGGCTCAACTACCCTCTGGAGAAGATGGGCTTCTGGCGACGCCTAGAGGACCTCATCCAGGGCCTGACGGGGGAGAAGCCTCGGGCAGATGACATGAAATGGGCCCAGAAGATCAAATAACTCCTCCAGCCTGCCACCTCGTTGCCAACCTTCCCCAGCCCCCCCAAACCGAAGCCATCTGCCAAATTCCAGCTTTCCTTGCGCTGGTTCCTCCAAGTGGAGAGGACACCTCCTGGGCTGGGCCCGGGCACCCCCAGCCCCACCCTTCGTGACACAGAATACTTGAGCCACTGATTTTTCATTTCCTTTTTTTCTGTTTTCTTTCCTTGGCCCCTCCCCAGCCACCTGAGCTGCTCTGTCTGCCAAGCCTGACTATGCAGAAAAAGGAGCCCCATCCTGCCAGGCATCACTTGGGTAGAGGGGAAGCTCACCCACTCCCCACTCCCACCAACCCTGGCCCCAATGGGCAGCCCTTCAGCGTGGCTAGCATTGGGGCCACTGAGTCATCTTATCTGTCCCAGCGGTCTCGGAGCTCCCAGGCTCACCTCAGTGTTCCTGGAGCATTGCCCTGCCATCGCCCTGCAAACTGACCCCAAAGGCCTAGGTGGGCGGACATCCCCAGCCACCACCTTCAGAAGCCTGGCCTGTCCACCCATGGATAGCAAAGTGCAGCAAAGCTCTGAGGAGAGCTGGCCGGAAGAGGCCAGAATCCCCTGCCCAAGTCTGGACCCCACTTCTCCCCCAGCCCTCCCCCTATCTGCCCACGTGATTCCAGGCCAGAGCTGATGTTTCTAATCTAAGGAAGGATGTCATTGCAGGGCATAGCACCTGCAGTGGGTTTTGGTCATTTGGAAGAGGACACAGTGTCCCCTCTGGCCAGGGGTATGTCAGAGAAGAATGAAATAATGGGGCTTTTTTGTTTTGTTTTTTTTTTAAAGGTGCTTGCTTGTTTAATGTAAATAATAGAAAGCCTTAATATCTTTTCTGTAACACGGAGTAATATTTTAATGTCATGTTTTGGATGTATATAATATATTTATAACAAAGCAGCAAGAATCTACTTAACCTTGGCTGCCTCGTGTTTCCTGGTTGGCTGGGGGAGGAGGGGTAAGGAGCCTGGAGGATGAGGTCCCACCCCTAGCCCATTCCCAGCTCCCCCTCAAACCCAGGGCTCAGGATGGGGCCTCTGTCACCTGAGAAAGTGAATTAAGGTTGACATCTCCAAAGACTTTCGGAGAGGACCCACAATTTGGTAAGGAGTGGTCTTCATGCAGATCATGATGATAGAATAATTAAGGCTGATCCCTATTTGTGAATTCTTCAGCAAATGTTTATTGGCACCTGGTGTGTGCCAGGCTCTGACCTGGACATTGGGGCACAGCAGTGAAGACAGACAAAGACCCTAGTGGAGTGACCTCCTGGGAAGACAATAAACAAATAAATGCACATGGGCATTCAGATGTTGATTTGTAAAGAGAATCGAAAATAATGGAACAACAATGTTGGAAGATCAGGATGGGGCTGCTTGGCAGGGTGATCAGGGAGAGCCTCTCAGGAGGTTCCTTAAAGTTTGCCGCCCACCCCCCCAACCCCCTCGCTAGACTTTTGATTTGTGACTGAGGAGACCATAAAAGGAAAGGATATTGGAACTCATCAACTCATAAGTGACAAAACTATAACTTAAGCAAAACTTAAGACCTAAAATAATTTTATTAGCTCATAACTGAAAAGTTCAGAGGTGATTCTGACTTAACGTTTGGCACAACTCAGGGACTCACATTCCTCAGAAGCTGGTCTCTCTCTAGCTGTTTTTCTCTGAGTCGAGACCTGACATTGTACCATCTCAGCAGTTTCAGTGGAAAAAGTCTCCCTTCCCAGTAGTTGCATCAAAAGCCCCAGGGCAGGCTCTTATTGGCCTGGATTGGGTCACGTGCCTACCGCTAAACCAGTCACTGGTGGGGATAGTAAAATGGTAAAGTGTTCTGATTGACCAGGGCTGAAACATGTCCACCTGGAGTTGCAGACACCGGATGAGCACCTCTCAAGCCACAGGATGAGAGGAGGGAGAAATGGTTCCCAAAAGAAAAATCAAGGTGTTATCAACAGTCTACGGCGGATGGGGCAGGGAGCCAAACTCTTTGGAGGGACCAAGTAAGCAGCCTTGGGCTGCAGGGGTTGGTTTCCCATTCCCAGACCTGCTGGGAAGATTTTCCAGGCCCTACCAAACTGTATTAGTTCCCCTAAGCCAGCAAAAACCAGCCTGAGGCCGGAGAGGTGAAGTGACTTGCCCAAAGGTAGTAAAACAGACCTAGGCCTCAGACTCAGACCATCTCCCTGCTCCTGAATCCCAGAGGCTTGAAAAATACTTTTCGAAACCAGGAGGTATGTTTTACACCAGATCTGGGAATATGCAAGTCATCTGCGAGACGGGAGTATTGCAAACGTGCTTCTGAGAGGCAGGGAGAAATGTTAATATCTACTGAGCACTTACCAGGTGCCAACCTGCAGAGAGCTCTGTCCTTTGGGTCTCATCAAGCGGTCCCTGCAGCTCAGAGAGGACTACACTTAGCCTCACTTGCAGATGGTGAAACTGAGGCACGGCAGTCATGTAATAGGCCCAAGGTCACACAGCTAGTAGGTGGCAGGCCTGGAATCCAAGCCCTGATCTGACCCAAGCCACTGTGCTTTAACACCCACCTGCAGCCCCAATGGAGGGAGGGAGATGGGGAGGCAGGTGGCCAGTGAGACATGTGTCCCACATGAGAAAAAAGGATAAGAAACAGCAGTTGACACTGAAGGCTGGGATGCCTGGAGACATCAGGCCCCAAAGGGCAGGTGCTACTCACATCCCCTGATTAAACAGGAGCCAGAAACCCAGATTTTTAAAAGCTGGCTCCATTTTTTAAACATACTCTGTGCAGAATAAAACAGGTATACAAGTTGATTTCTGCCCTTGACTTCCCCGCTGGTGCTGGGATGGCCTGGTTTTAGGTGGATTTGTGCTGCTATCTGCTGGTGGAGTGGGGCAGGTGGCAGTGCAGGACGGACGGGGACTTCCAGCTCAACCTGGAATGTGGTGTATTGTCCTCTGTGCTCATGTCTTAGAGGGATCTGGGCGGGGCACCTGCCCCCAAATTTAACCCTGCCCCCTTCTGATAAACCTGAAATTTCAAACAAGTAAAGCATGCATATGGTAAAGTATCAATGCAAAAGGACCTACTGAGAGAGGTCAGCTGACTGGAGCCCATAGGCCAAATCAGGCCAGGCTGTTTTTCTCCCACCCCATGAGCATTTTTTTAAATGGTTTGGGAAAAAAAAATTTCCTAACACATGATATTCAAATTTAGTATCAATTGCAAAGTTTTATTGGCACACAACCACACACTCATTTACATATCGTCTATGGCTGCTTGTTCAATACAATAGCAGAGTCTAGAGATCAAACGGCCTGTAAAGCCTAAAATATTTACTATTTGGCCCTTTACAGAAAAAAAAAAACTTAACCAACTCCTGGTCTAGAATGAAGAGTAAATCGCTCCCCACTCATGTTCCCCCAAGTCCTTGGTTCCCCTCTCCAGAGGCAATCATTTCAACAAGACCCTTGCAAGTCCCATATACAGGCATTGAGGCATGTCTGTTCCCCCTTTTCACAGGGTAGAATATTATATACACAGTTCTGCATTATATTTCAGAGACATTATTGTATCAATGCTTCCTTACTCTGTGTAGCATTCCAACTTCAGGGTAGGCCTTCCTTTTTAACTCCTCTCTCACTGGATATTGGGTCATTTTCAGTCTTGGAGACTACAAACCACCGTTATGTGCATTGGAGAACTAAAGTCTTTGCTCATAAGGGTCAATAGACCTAAGGGGTCGATCCTGAGGAATGGGCGGGTCCAGGGTGTTTGCGTGTTACATCCTGAAAGCTCATGCCACACTGTCATCCGCCAAGACTGTGCCCATTTAAACTCTTCCAGCTTTTAATAGTGCCAGTTTCCTCACACCCTTGCCAACACAGTGTGTTATCAAGTGTTTTGTTCTCTGCCAATCTGATAGGTGGTTTTAATTTGCATTTCTCTTACTGTATTTCAATGAATCTAAGATATCATTGTAAGATGCATCATGATTTCGCAGATATTTGTAAATAATGCAATTTAGAATCACTGAAATATAATATGTTGAATGAGATACGGTATTTTATCCCATTTTCTTACTGCATTTCCTTACTCTGTACATGCCTTTTTCCTATTTTTCTGGGGAGGCAGGATAGTGGTGAATAAGAACTTGGGGTTCAAATCCCAGCTCTACCACTTACAAGCTTGTGACCTTAGATAAGTTACTAAACCCTTCTGTGTCTCAGTTTCCTGATCTGTAAGATGGGATACAAATGATACCTACCTCATAGGTAGTTGTGAAGATTAAATGAATTGATATAAGCAAAATACTATGTTCCTAGAACATACTAAGTTCCCCATAAATGTTTGCTATGATTATCATCTTTCTTTTGGGTTATCTTTTTTCTTAAGCTGCAAGGGCTCTTTATAAATTAAGGAAACTCGCCCTTTTTGTTTTCCCCCAATTCCAAACCCCTGATTTTTATTCCTTTTTCCCTGATCACAAAAGTTAACAGATGATACAGAATTCTGACATTATGGAAATAAATTGTATAGGAAGAAGCCAATGGAAACAACACAGATGTCCATCATCAACAGAGGAGTAAGAGAATGAATTGTATATGATCCCCTACCCACCACTCCCCTTTCTGGTTGTATATTTTAACAACTACATCAAACATGAAATAAAATATCTTAATGCTATATTTCAGACATACCCCAGGGGACATAACTCCATATATATGCCATGAAATGCCACTAGCAAATATGTCACACATCCTCAACCAGATACCTCCCCAGGTATTCCAGTCTCTGTCTTCTGGTTGCCTGGGACACATCCTGTCAACAGTTGATCAGATTTACTTTCTATAGTTTATATCCATGGTCCCCAACCTTTTTGGCACCAGGGACCGGTGCTCCTATGAGACTCTAATGCCTAAGGATCTGAGGTGGAGCTGAGGCGGTGATGCTAGTGCCGGGAGCAGCTGCAGATACAGATGAAGCTTCGCTGGCTTACCCACCACTCACTTCTTGCTGTGCGGCCCAGTTCCTAACAGGCCACAGACCAGTACCAGTCTGCGGCCTAGGGGTTGAGGACTCCTGATTTATATTACAAAAGCTATATCATGAAGTTGGAGTTTTTTTCTTAACTATAAATTGGAAATATAAACAACTATATAATGTTATCCACAACCTTGCTACTCAAAGTGTGGTCTGCGGGTTGGCACTAGTGTCCCCTAGGACAGGGGTCCTTAACCCATGGGTCGTGGACCGGTGTTAGTCCGTGGCCTGTTAGGAACTAGGCCACACAGCAGGAGGTGAGCGGCGGGTAAGCGAGCGAAGCTTCATCTATATTTGCAGCTGCTCCCCAGCACTAGTATCACAGCCTCAGCTCCACCTCAGATCATCAGGCACTAGATTCTCACATGAGCACTGGTCCCTGGTGCCAAAAAGGTTGGGGACCGCTGTCCTAAAAGCTTGTTAGAAATGCAGAATCCGAGCACCCCCCACCACACAGAACCAGAATCTGCATTTTAAAAAAGATTCCTAGTGGTTTGTGTTGCACAGAGTTTGAGAAGTGTGTATTGCTCTAAAAAATATTGTTGATTTTGTAAACTATATTGTATTTTTTACATTTTGAATATACTATAACAAACTATTCATGCCTTTTACATCCCAGAGATTCCCAAACTGCCCAGATGCTTTCCCACCTTGCTGAGAACAGTTGTTTTTGAATGAATGCTGTGGAACAATCCACATCTATATATATCTCTTGACTGGAGCACTGTGCCAGCTTCCTGTATCTCTTAGATATACTTTTGGCTATAAACAACATAAACTTACCTTTAGGAGCAGCTTAAGTAATAAAGACACTTATTATCTCATCTTAAGAAGCCTGTAGGTAGGCAGCCCCAGGATTCGTTCAGCAGCTCAACTACATGATCCAGGTTCTAGCTCTTGCCATCTTTCCATGTGGGCTTCTTTGATGTGTTGGCTTTTTGGCCTCAGGTTTGTGCCTCATGGTTCATTATGATCGCCACAGCTCCAACCATCACAACCTCATATTACAGAAAGGAGAAAGGGGGACAAAAAAAATAAGGCTTTCTCTTCATCTATTATCAAGGGAAGAAAACTTTCCAAACATGCCCCCTCTCCAACTCATTAGCCAGAAAGAAGTAGGTCACAGGCACACCACTGGACCAGCAAAGGGAAATGGCAGCGAGCATGATGGGCTTGGATTCACATCTAGATACTGGACCTTCTAGCCTCCTAAACAAAACCAGGCTTCTGTGAGCACAGAAGGACATGGCGACTGGACTGAGAGCCAATAAT